GAAAATTTAGTAATTTAGAATTTATTCAATTCGATTATCGCAGTACCATTATTTTCACCACCATATTTTTATCGTTGTAATAACTATTTGGATAATACTGAAAACACAAGTATCGAAAACACGACGTATGGTAACTATCGCAATGAACACATTGTGAAGAAAATTTTACTTACCAAATGCTCGTCAGTTCCTGAAGCCTAGAGCTTATACCAGGTTTCCGAATCAGTGATTCAGCACACAAAACAACACCGTAACAATGTCTTAATAGCCTGCTTTACTAACCAAATACAACTATCTTAAGGGTACCCTATTATAGTCCACCGTTTTCAAAACAATAAAATAATTCACACACACACACACACCAAAAAAACGCAGCAACGCAGAGCGGCACGTATGGGCTTGGCCACCAGGGAAAGATGAGTGTCTGCGTGCAGCTGACGCCAGTTTTCGATCGCAGGTCGTTGTTACGCAACATACAAGCTCCCTCGTTGGCCGAGACCTTGGGCAGCGCACAGTCACGGTGACTTTACGCACCGGGAGAGATGGCGCAGGGTCTGATATCACGGCAGTCCTTCTGACCGGGAGGTCCTAGATTCGACTCCCGACGGTGGCAGGATTTACGACAGTTGCTAGTCAGCTACGTCGTATTCAGTCGCAGTCTGGGGAAGAATTCTAGAGGCCGGCTGCTCTGATGGGTAGTTTTTCGTGGTTTCTCCCATCAACACCAGGCGAATGCCGGAGCAGTTCTCTAACAAACGGGCCACAGTCCTCCTACGACCCTTTCTACCTCTTCCTTGTCCTATAGTCTCCCCTTACACACACACACACACTTACACTAGCACGCACTACATAATCACACATGCCGGGAGACCGGTCGGGAGCTTAGAGCTTGTCCCGGCTGGGGCGGTGCCGCGCTGGTGGGAGATACCTGGTGTGGGAATCCCCACTAGCCAACGGTAGGTCGGCGGTGGATCTCACCCTACAGTGAGGGGATGTTCATCGCCATCTCCCGAGCAAAACATGCACTACACTTACAAATGACTAAATGACCCTGGAAGTTGACGTGCCCGGTATCACTAAAACAATCCATCAATCGACGTCACGAGTAGATTAAAATTTTGAGAGTTCGCAGTCTAGTTGAGAGAGCCACCTGCCATCCTAGGATCCTAGGATGAAAGGGGAAATCCTAGAGAAAAATCCTAGGATCCTAGAATGAAAGAGGAAATCCTAGAGAAAAATCCTAGGATCCTAGGATGAAAGGGGAAATCCTAGAGAAAAATCCTAGGATCCTAGGGTTGGCGTTTAGGCGGCAGCGGATTTCCGACACTAGTCACATGCCTTGGACGAATTCAGCAACTGTCTGGAGAACAATTGTCGCGGCCGCCTGCTCGGTCGGATGGTTTTCCGCCTTTCTCCGTTTGTTTTTTCTAAAATTGGGGGGTTTCGAACGATTAACATAGTCAAAGTTCTCAAGAACAAATTTTGAGTCTCGAAACCGATATATCGGAAGGTAGATTACGAATGTCATTTCTAGATATTTGTAGTCGTTCTGCAGGCATGATCGTTAACTACTAAATAAAAGGAACGCAAATTGGAATTGAATCTAGTCCAGAAACGAGCACAAATTCTACAAAATAAATCCCGAAATTAATTTCACAAAATTAATTTTCGAATGATTGATTGATTAGTGATTCCGGGCACATGAACTGCTAAGGTCATTAGTTCCGGAAGTGTAATGCGTGTGTTTTTCTCGAGTGGTAGTGATCTTTCCCGCTTGTTGGTGACATCCGGCGCCGACCTACCGTTGAGTTTCTCCCAACCAGGTACCTCCCGCTAGCGGGGCACCGCCCCAGCTGGGAGAAGTTTAAAGCTCCCTTCCGGCATCCCGGCATGTGTGGGCAACTTTAGGAACAAACGGTTTAAGCATTGAGAAGTACATACCTCAATGCACAAGAAACAATGAACAACAAAAATTTCATTTTTCACGTGAAAAGGGCATTTTGAGGTAGACCGAGTACCTTCAGTTACGACATTCTTTAATAATATCAACAACACCTCATCATTATTTCTACGATTGTATTACTACGTTGTATTGAAAACCAGGCTTTCAGCCCCTTGCGCTGCAACAAATTCATTTTACCCCTTCCTCTATCCGGGTCGTAACGTATATAAATTTAATCTTCAATATTAGTGTCCAATTGTTTGTACCGTTTTCAACACTGTCAGTGTTCAGATGTATTTATATTAGATGTCAATAAATCCTAAGAAGTAAGAAACTGCTTTTTATTGATATTGACTGTACATTTTGGGGTTTTAATTTCATTTTTTGTATTTTTTTGGTGGTTTGACGTTTCTCTAAAGAGTTTCACATCTTCGTAGAAGAACGTATTTGTAACAAAAGTATAGAAACGTTTTCTAGTCTCTCGTACGTTCACGTCGGCATGAAAGAAAAATATCGCGTTCAAGAACGAATACCTTAGGACTGATTGATTGGTTCGTGTGTCCGAGCACGTCAACTGCTAAGGTCATTAGTTCAGTATGTGAAGTGTTTATTTCTTTGCGGGAGGTGACGGTGCTCTTTCCTTGTTGAGATTCGGTACACTTCGCCTTACAGAGTTTTCCCCATCTAGATATCTCCCACCAGCGACGTACTGCCCCAGCTGGGTCAAGCTCTTGGCTCCGGATTGGTCTCACGACATGTAATTTAGGGGATGTAACTGTGGTAGTGTAGTGTATAAATGTACAAGTGTGTGAAAGAAACGAGGAAGGGACAAGGAAGGGGAAGGAACAATCGCGCGTGGTCCGTGGCTCGTTTGCTTCGGCATTCATCTGTCATTGATCGGAGAAACCACGGAAAACTACCTATCAGAGTAGCCGGTCGCTAGAATTCTCTTCCAGACAGTGGCTGAATTTGACCTAGCTATTTAGCTGTTGTCCAGAAACCTGCCGTCCTTGAAACTCAAACCCCAGGACCACCCTGTAAGAGGCATACTAGTGATATTAATTGATGCTCTGAGCTACCTATGCCGGTTGAAATTCCTAGGAAAATCCAGCACCTCGACATACCGAATTTATTTTCTATTAAACGTCGGGAAAAGTTTGAAGCAATTTGAATTACGAATTGACATACTGTACGTTGTTTGTCATTTTCAATTATTTTTCCTAACAATAATAATAATAATAATAATAATAATAATAATAATAATAATAATATATAAAAATCTCCAATATCACCAAGGGGGGACTTCGGAGGCCTAAGTTTAAATTTTGATTTTATTGAAGTATTATTTTAAGTCATTCCTCATATCCTGGCCATTTATCACAATATTGAATTAGCTGGGAAAGCATTTATGTCATTACCTAAGTTTTGGAGAAACGATTGAGAACCGTTTTCCTATTTTTTGTATTTTTATTTTACATTAATGTAAAAAAACACACACTTACTACAAAAACAAATACAAACACAAATATACACTTAAAACACAAATACTTACTACTCCAGCTAGATCTTTACCGTGGTTCGTACAATACTTACATTTCTTTCCACATCGTCCATGGCCTTTAAATAACGCACATGAGGAAATTTTTTTGGTGAGACACCACCATTATAATGAATTTATAACGTAAACGATACCAAAATGCAATTGATTTTATGTTAAACTATTAATGATGTAGCCAGATGTTTGGACACCCGCTTCCAGGAATGTAGTACAACTATTTCTTAAATAATCAGAATTAAAAAAGAGAAAAAAATAATAGAACATATTTAAGGAAATAAAATGTTTTATTTTGAAAAGCTATGGGGCCCTTTCATACTTACCAGGAGAGTTGGCCACCTGAGCGCTCCCCTTCAGCCTGCGTAATGAAACGTAGGGAGATGGGAATAAGGCGAAAAAAATCATTTCATTGTTTTTGGAGAAGCCAACATGCGTTTATTTCCATCATTACATGAATTACATTCGAAATGGCTCTATTACCATCCTGATTCATTTCGTTACATAGCTGAAATGACGGAAAAGTAATTGGCAAAAAGTTGAAAATCACTATTCATGGTCTTAAAATCACTATATCTATGATATTTCTTTCCAGTTTTATATGCGCTCCGGATTCACACTATCAACTCCTGCGACGGCCGGAAAGCGAAAGATAGCACCCGTTGATCCTAAAATGTTATGCTCATAGAAGTGGGCCTGCTGCGTTCGTAGTACGTGAACCGTTCTTTCCCAACCCCCTTTGCCCCATGCAGAGTGCGGTCCAATCCTTCGCCGACACATCACAGCTCGCGGGTCGCATTTCTGGGCTCGCAATGCGCAAGCGACGTGCGTTCGCTCGATGAGCTCCTATATGCGGCTCCTCACATTCGGCATTCGCCGAGCAGCGAGCTACTACTACTCGGTCAATCAGCTGATGTGTTCGGCGAACGTTCACTCTGTTTGATATGTTCTAAAGACGGATGTGCTGTGGATAAAGGCGGCTTCCATTCGCCGAGAAGCGATCTACTGCTGGGCGAATCCCGAACAGCTGATGTGTTCGGCGAATGTTTGCTTCTTTTGATGTTTTCTAAAGACCGACACGCGGTGGGTAGGACAGGCACCGAATGTTTGTCTCCCGGAAAATAGCAAGGAACTCATCGACACGTCTTCGGATTCGGCGAGCGGTTGCTCGAGATTCACCGAATGGAGCCGCCTTACAACAAGAGATCCTGATATAACGGATAGGGAATGATGATGGAGACAGTTGGAGAACCTCTGCCACAGTGCTACCGTCCCCCCTCCAAAGCCCATTCACCGCGCCGAGACGTCCTTTTCCTATTCGACACACGCATCTCAAGGTCACCTTCATAGTTTTTCCAAAGGCAAGATCGGAGCCACTCGACGAGCTTCTGAACTGAACAGCTGTTTTCTACCAGGTGGTGAATGATATTGGAGTAATTAAGCAGATTAAGAACCTCCGTTATAGTTCATCTCTCTCATCCTGCAAGCCCATTTCTACACCGTTGAATGACGCTCAAACTCCTCCCTGACATAAAGTTGCTTGTAGGGCACATTTCTGGGCTCTCCCATCATCCGGAGGCCGGTCAACGAGCAGTGAATAATGATGGAGTAATTAAACACGCAGTTAGACGAGTAGATGCGGCTAAGCGACAGGCTGGGGCAGCTTGTGACTGTTTCAGAACCTCTACCGAAGTTCAATCGTCCTCTCCTAAGCTACTTTCCACACCGCGGAGTTTAGTCCATCCCCTCCCAGACATAACTCAACTCGCGGATCACTTTTCTCGCTCGTCAAACGCCGAGGAGATCAAGGCCGCTCGTCGAGCAGCCGAGTCGCGTCTAAGCGTCGGGGCGGGACAGCCAGCCGCGCCGCTTGTACTCAGGCAGCAGCCGCTTGACAATGGCTTCCTCGAAGAGATAGACGAGCGACATGGAGCTGCTCGTCAATCTCCTGAATTGAGAAGACCTAATCCAACAGATAGTTATAGGCGATAACTATTAGGTGAATAATGATGGAATAATTAAACACATGCTTTTTAGGGCCGTTAGTCGTGTAGATGCGTCTAAGCGACGGGCTGGGGCAGCTTGTGACAGTTTAAGACCCTCTGCCGTATCTCGTCCGTCCCCTCCCCAAGTCCCGTTCCCCACCGCGGAGAGAAGTCTATCCCCTGCGCAACACCACTCAGCTCGCCGGTCGCTTTTCTCGCTCGTGAAACGTCGAGCGGCTCTGGGCCGCGTCTAAGCGTCGGGGCGGGGCAGCCAGCCGCGCCGCTTGTACTCGGGCAGCAGCCGCTGTAGCCAGCACTTGACAATAGCTTCCTCGGGATGCTCGGGGCTGTTTGACAATCTCCTGAATTGAGCAGCCCTGATCTAACGGATAATCGCTGGCGATAAATATGAAGTGAAAGATGATAGAGTACTTAAAAACTTTCAGAACCTCCGCCGAAGTTCAATCGTCCCCTCCCCAAGTCCCTTTCCACACCGCGGAGAGAAGTCTATCCCGTCCCCAACACCAGTCAGCTCGCCGGTCGCTTTTTTCGCTCGTGAATCGTCGAGCTGCTCTGGGCCGCGTCTAAGCGTCGGGGCGGGGCAGCCAGCCGCGCCGCTTGTACTCGGGCAGCAGGCGCTGCAGCCAGCGCCGCACGGCGGCGTCCTCGTAGAGGTAGGCGAGCGCCGCCGCGTCCCCGGTGAGGCCGGCCTCGAGGTCGGCGGCGCGCTGCGCCCGCACCAGCGGGATGACGGTGAGGCAGCCCATCAGCGCGAACGGCCCGTGCGCAGACAGCGCGCGCAGCAGCTCCGACAGCGGCGGCGCCTGACGCACGCCAGCAGTAAACGAGTTGGTGAGTGATTAGGTGGATGAGTTGGTGAGTGAGTGAGTTGGTGAGTGAGTGAGTTGGTGAGTGAGTGAGTTGGTGAGTGAGTGAGTTGGTGAGTGAGTTGGTGAGTGAGTGAGTTGGTGAGTGCGTGTGTTGGTGAGTGAGTGAGTTGGTGAGTGAATGAGTTGGTGAGTGAGTGAGTTGGTGAGTGAGTGAGTTGGTGAGTGAGCGAGTTAGTGAGTGAGTTGGTGAGTGAGTGAGTTGGTGAGTGAGTGAGTTGGTGAGTGAGTGAGTTGATGAGTGAGTGAGTTGATGAGTGAGTGAGTTGATGAGTGAGTGAGTTGGTGAGTGAGTGAGTTGGTGAGTGAGTTGGTGAGTGAGTTCATGGGATAGTTGATGGCTCAGTTATTGTGTGAGTTGGTGTGTGCGTAGGGGGGTGAGTGTGTGAGTGAGTTGGTGAGTAAGTTGGTGAGTGAGTTGGTGAGTGAGTTGGTGGGTGAGTTAGTGTGTGAGTTAGTGTGTGAGTTGGTAGGTGAGTTGGTAGGTGAGTTGGTGTGTGAGTTGGTAGGTGAGTTGGTGGGTGAGTTGGTGGGTGAGTTAGTGGGTGAGTTGGTGTTTGAGTTGGGAGGTGAGTTGGCGAGTGAGTTGGGGGGTGAGTTGGCGGGTGTGTTGGCGGGTGTGTTGGCGGGTGTGTTGGCAGGTGTGTTGGCGGGTGTGTGGGCGGGTGTGTGGGCGGGTGTGTTGGCGGGTGTGTTGGCGGGTGTTTTGGCGGGTGTGTTGGCGGGTGTGTTGGCGGGTGAGTTGGCGAGTGAGTTAGTGAATAGATGGGTGTGTGGGTGAGTGAGTAGATTATAGTGGATAGGAGGTGATGTGGGAGTAAGTTGATTGATTTGTAATTGCTGGCGCGTTAGCTGCGAGCGTCATTAGTTCCGTAAGTCTAAGGGGTGTCCAACATAAAAGTTTTAACTAAAACGTTTCATATGGTTCCTAGCTGAGAGGAGAAGGAGGGATGGAACCATGAATACATACCATGAGTGTATACATATCATGTATACATATCAGACTGTATCATGCATAACACAGTGAAACACAGTGTGAGGATTTTGATTTTCCAGATTCACTAGGAAATATCTTTAAATATAACTTAACATATTTTTTGCGTTATAGGATGTTGGCGCTGACAGGGCACTAGCCACAATATTCTCGTCCGACATATATGCAAGGACTTTCACGTTTGTCTAATAACATTTCGCAGCCCCCAATGAACAGTACTGCGAGCCGCCAGTTGGGCAGCCCTGGTCTAGTGTATGTTTCTCCTTGGGACGTGGCAGTGATCATCCCCTGCAGAATGGCGGGATCCGGCGCCTACCTACCATTGGCTAACGAGGTATCCTGAAGCAACTATCGCCTATCAGCGAGGCACCGCCCCAGAAGGAACAAGCTCTGAGCTACCGACCAGTCACCCGGTGCGTGCTATGTACACGCTAGTGTGTGTCAGTGCTGAGGACGGGACTAGGAAGAGGAAGGAAATATCCCGCGCGATCCGTTGCCTGTTTGTTAGGTACTACTCCGGCATTCGACAGGTGTTGATCGGAGAAACCACGGAAAACTACCGACCGGAACAGCCGACCGCTAGAATTCGCCTCCAGACAGCGATCCTCGACCTACCTCTGTACTTAGTGTCGGAAATCCGTTGCTATCTGAATTAAAATCACGGGCTCAACGCGCTCAATGACGATGCAGACGCAATGGGTGTTGCCACTGAGACATCGCGACCGGTGACATGATAATTTGTATTGCGAATTGTCCCGAACAACCTACCTCTGATTTCCAAAGTTACGCCCAATAAAATCTCATTTTTAATCGTTTTCGATTAAAAACCGTATGTTTTGCATTCTTAACTTCCAACACTCATATCTGTAGTTATGGTAGACAAATTTTACTAAATGGAAAAATGAGTAAAGACATCTTACCTCCAGCCTCAACAGCCGCAGTGTGTCGTCTAGGGTCCTGTGGTATTCTCGAATGAGGAGATCTTCATTGTCAGCTGATACTTCTTCCGTCACACTTGTACTCAAGAAGTAGAGCAAGTCAAGTGTTGGGGAACCTACTGTGCTTCCCTAAAAGCAAAATGTGAAATCACTTGTCTTCTTCTAAAATTCGTTTTTCATCTTTACGCGTTGTGGGGACAACTAGGAGAGCAGAGAGGTTCTACAAAGGAAGAAGGAAACGATCCCACTTTAAAATATATCTATCATAAATATATCATATTTCTTATAAAATAAGATATAAAACTTATAAACGAAACCCTTCAACTCTTACGTGAATATTGTAAACATAAATCTATGTAACATTTTTAATGATTGTGTAAACTGCAGTCAACAGAGACTATTTGGCCTTGGGGAAGAAGATTTTAAGACTATTTTACAGTCATAAAGTTTTCAAGGGGAAGTTATTCAATTCTGCAGAAGTGTTAGTGTTTCTATAAATATTTAACTTTAGATCACAGCTTAAAACTGAACTAAACTAAACTGAATGTGTATCTGTATTCAGTAGTGCTAAAAAAACCGCATTACCTTTCTTACAGTCGTGATCTGCAATATTATCATAAAATACCCTTCTTGTTTGCAAAAATTAAGTGTGTTTTGAAGGTAATAAAATCAGAAACGTCATGTAATCCACATAAAACATATGATTAAAATTTCCATTAATAATTCATTAAAATTTTTGAGAGCAGGTATGATTAGAAAATTCAGAAATCCCATTTTATTTAGGTGATGCGGTTTTTTAATGCTACTATCATAGCCTATAGTGTTGGTCGCTCAAGTCATTAATGCAAGTTACAATTAACTTAAAAATAAGAAAATGGGCGTGATCGTGATGAGTATACGTTGTAAAACGTCAAGAATACCATTATAATGTGAAATTTTGTAACATGGTAGTAGTATATTACAAAACGATCATGTAATGATGACATCGAATTTCATATATTAGTTTTTCGACGACTAATAATAGCTATTGTAAGTTCAGCTTTTACATTGAACGGTTACGTGAAGGTTGGCAACCAATGCTCAATCACATAGCGGACCCAAGGTCTCCCAGAGGGCATTCATTAAGCATAAACACAAATCACCTTCAAATAAACAGTTCACGATCCAAGTTACGATTCAATTAAAGGAATGTCATGAGAGTTGAAAATCTGTCCTTATTTCGTATAAGCATAATTACTGATTCAGTATTCTTCTTTGCTTCTATTTTATGGAAACAGAAGAAGGCATGTGTGGTTTAACGTCATCACCTCGGGTTGTCTCATGGCATAATTTAACGAAACATTTAATAGAACGATCGCCAATGCTTGATTACTTCTCAACTGAAAACCCCTGTAAGTGGTCAGTCATCTGTACTATAATGATGATGTATCATAATTACAGTCAATATGCAACGAGCTGTAGCCGCCTAAGATAATTATGTAATGGGAATGCGAAAAAAAATATTTCAGGGTAAATCATTGTCTGCACGATCTCATTCACGATCCTCCTTTGACTAAGGTACTATATTGGGCAATATTAAACATTTCTGACAGAAAATAATAAGAAAGAAAATTTACGGTGATTGAATTTAACAGCGCGAGGGGTCGATTCTACAATTAACACGTGAAAGGTCTTTAATTAATGTATCGGCTCCAATGTAGAGTACTGAGTTGATTTCACGATAGCGTAGGTCACTATTTACATAGGCCACGTCAAGAAAAGTGTAGATGTTTATGAACGACTTTCGTGTTTATTTAAGCAGCAACTCCTAGAACTATAACTCAAATTAAATTTCTTTGAAGAACTCTAAATGATCCCTGGTTCATTACCAATGAACTAATTCATCTGAAATTATGATAAACACTCCAAAACTAGAAAAAAGTATAGCCAAATTAACGAATTGTTTCTACAGCCTATATAGTTCACCAAGTACTATCGTATATGACATGGGTGAAATCTTGATTTTATGCGTGGAGGGACAGCATTTTTCAACTACATTCAAAACCCCTTAAGCTACAAGACCTTCCGCTATTAAAATAATTATTCACTTTTCCCTTTAATATCTAAAATAAATTAGATAAAATTAACAATCAATATACTGTTTCAAACACTTAAATCGTGTGTATAGTCTATCCAGTAATATCATTGACTACTCATTATACTATTAATTCCTTCTAAAGATTGCTTTGTCGAACAAGAAGAAATAAATTTAAAAAATTGATTGTGGAGTCGTCATACATAAAATTCTGAATTATACGTACTCGATATTACATCATAATGAAATTTGTTTCATTACAAACCAATATAAGATGAATCATTAACAAGACGGAAAATCATTATTAATATCGCACTTTAATAAAACAAAAAAAGGAACATTTCATTAACATGTAAAGTAAATTACAAAATTATTAAATACCTACCTGGAAGTCCACCATACGATGTCCCTTCGGTTCAGGGTTGTCCTCATCGTACCGGAACATCATGTTGTTCACCCAGAAGTCGGAGTGCACAATTACGGTGAACTCGTCCGGTGTGGGAGTGTTGACTTCTAAGAAAGTCTCCATAGCTATAGTCTGTTCAGAAACAGAATTCGACATTAGTAACACAGATGGTAGTAGAGTGTAATGCTGTAGACGGAGTATAAGTAGTATAGTGTACTACAGCACAAAAATCTATTGAGTAAATTTGACGAAAGTATGCGTTTTTGGTGTTTCTCGTACATAATTTTGTTTCTCATACATAACAATGTTTATTTAGGAATGGTTTTTAGTAAATAGTGATGATTTTCAAAACCTATCTAAACATTTTTTTTCAAAATACGGCTCCATATTTTTTATTCAACTCTATTATTTATAATTTAAGAAGATAATATTTAATTTTTGAACCATCAAACTTTTAAATATTTCAAACATTTTATCTGCAGAAAATTATGGTCCTACTTCTACTTGTATGTTCAGTACATACTTTCAGTTTGGAGATTATTGACATAGAACTAATTGGAATTTTCGCCCCTTAGAATTGTTGAAGAAGGGTGAAGTCACTATAATCTTGTAAACTGGTTGAATGATTCGTCGAATTAAATGGTATCTCAGATCGAGGATATTATAAATTTTCAATCTGGGAGTGCTTTAAAACGCGAGCCAGTCGAGCACGCTTGATTGTAATTTGAGGCAATCCCTACCTATAAGATCCATTGAAACTGCTTGCGTTGATGCACTACACTACCACACATGCCTCGAGTTTAGAGCTTGTCCCGGTTGAGATCGTACCCCGCGGGTAGGGAGATACCTGGATGAGAAAAACACAGCAAACCTGCTATAGGTGGCGTTGAATCTCACTACCCAGCAGGGAATGAACACCGCCACCTCCCGTGATAACAACAATCACTACACTTACAGGCCTAATGAGGCAATTTGACACGTAAACACGAAATAATCAATTAAGAGACGTTGGCGCGTTGAAGGGTTTTTATTCCGTGGCACAAGCACTTGTACTCGTATTTTAGGTGCAAAAAACGGAAATTATTATTATTATGCATTTCAAAAGTAAAATGTATGCGTTAAAATGACAGAAATATTTATTATCCCTTTGAAAACCTATAACCGAGTTAGAAAAAAGTTCCGCAATAAAAAGTGACTTCATCCTCCTCACCATTCTGCGAATGTCTGAATCTGAGGCAGTTTGGGAGATGTTCGTGTTTTTGATGTGTATTCGTGCTCTGAGTGTCATTCTCTGAATCGACATTAGTGTTAAAAATGGTCTTCAGACCTTTTGACTGGTCGTGAACCAGACTCACTCCACTCAGTCGAGAAAGACCCACAGAAACACGTGATGTTTGACCAACCACAACATTCCAAACTCGCACGTATTTTATTATATATTCCAAAACCCCAAAGTATTAAACTTAAAAATGCGCACAATATTGATTTGTTCATAAAAATAGTGAAATAAGTAATCGTATTTTGTTTCGATGAAAGTATTTATTTTTTTGCAATTTAATCAAAATATTTATTTTTATGTTAAAATGCAATTTGGTGTATGAAAACTATGGAGCGCTGTTTGAATCTTCACTAAACATTCAAAGTTCTAGATTAAAAGTTATATATATATATATATATATATATATATATATATATATATATATATTTCTCTAAAAGATTGATTGAATGATAGTGATTCCGGGCGCGACAAATGGAAAGGTTATTGGACCGTAAGTGTAATGCAGTTTTTTCATCGGGAGATGGCTGTCATCTTCTCCGTTTAATGGCTAGAACCAGCACAGACCAACCGTCGGCTAGCGGGGTTTTCCCCAACCAGATATCTCCTACCAGCCAGCCGGGTCAAGCCAGCACCTTCCTAGCCGAGATAAGCTCTAAGGTCCCGGCATGTGTGGTAGTGTACTGCGTGTTAGTGTAAGTGTGTCTGTGTGTAAGGGGGTGAAGGTAGACAAGGAAGAGGAAGGAAAAATCACGTGCGGTCCGTGGCCCGTTTGTTAGGGTACTGCTCCGACATTCGCCTGGTGTTGATCAGAGAAAACACGGAAAACTACCGATCAGAGCAGCCGGCCACTAGAATTCCCTCCAGGAAGCGACTGAATTCGACCTAGCTGACAAGCTAGAACCGAAAATCCTGCCACTCGAAATTTAGGACCTCCTAGTCGGAGGAACTGCAATGACATCAGTTGATGTCCGGAACCATCTCACCCAGTATTTACCTAAAATCTATATGTAATACATCAATAATATTCACCTTGAACTCATCCAGCAGAGTGGCGTACTCTTCGTATCCAGGCCACAGTCTACAAGCGTCCGCCGCCATTTGCACCCCTCCTTCCACGAAAGCCGCAGTGGCCGGATGGGGCTTCAGCCACATGCTGGGCAGCCGGTCGGCGATTTCCGGCTTCTGCCGCAAGAGCGCGTGCGTGCCGGCGTGGTAGCGCGCCAGACATCGTAAAGCCAACAGGCTGTGCTTCAGGTCCAGGCCGCGTTTGCGGTCCGCCATCTTGAAGCCCGCAGTCGCCAGATCCTGCATGACGAGGTACTCGCGGTCATAGAGTGGGCAGCGAGCGGCCAACGGCGGGAACTGGCCTGGAGCGGCTTCTTCCAGCATTGCCTGCGCAAGCAAACAAGAGACAACCACTTGGTTATTTCCAGGGGGCGGGTTTTAATGAAATGTCTTTTTTTTCCCGCTTCAGAACAATGCTGTTTAGTATTAAAATTAATTTTATGTTATGGCTAAGATGCGGATTTTTGCCTATTTGCCTATTTTTTTTTCTTCAATGGAAAACGCAATATTTTGTGTTACTTATTCATTTTGAGGCATTAGAAGCATTACATGCGAATTTTATAGTGCCTATTAATGAATATTTCATTAATAAATGTCTATTTTGTGTTTAAGTGACTAAATGTTACCTATTCTCGTATTTATTGATCAAAATGCAACTAACATTAACTAAAAATGTAAAAAAAATTGTACTTTTTTCTCGTTTTTATCCTGTAGAGTACAGAGAAATCGAACAACTGTCAATAAATCAATGTTCTGTTTCACTGCCGATATTTAACAGGTACTTCGCATTATGAAATACGTGGTGGTAAAGTTATTTTGAACTTCAAATTTTTAAACCTTTTTTTCTCTAAAAAGGCTCCAATTTTTTTCTTAAATCTTTCTTCTCGTATGTATCAAAGGGTGGTATTAAAATTGGTGCCAGTTCCATTTTTTGAAAACTCTATATTTTTAAAAATTGCAAAAAAGTTAACATTGCAAATGTACAATATTGAATACCGTGATTTTTGTTTTAAATGAAACCTGTTCCAAAATATCAGATTTCAGGAAGATGATTTATAGTTTATTTTTAAAGAATGTTTCTTTGCATAAATTCTGCTTGAAATTAATTCAAATTACAAAAATAATTCGCAAATTTGCTAGAATGTTCCTTTTTTCCAAATTTGCTAGTTTTTCCTTCGAATAGAACAAAGAACGCGTAAAAGAACGGTGGAAGTGTCATTTTCGTTAAACACCCTTAATTTCTGAACATTGCAAATGTTCATTTATTTTATTTCATTTTTTAAGAAAAAATGCGAGAAAATATGTGTTTTTTTGCTCCAATTATGCTATGCATGGATATTGAAAAAAATCATGCAAGGTTTTCAATTGTTTATATTTAAAGTGAGAAAAAATATCATAAGTATCAGCTTGCATTTAATGAAAAGCTAACAGGTAGCTACTGCGATTCTGCCTTTTTGGTACAGTGGTCTCTGACAATGCTAAAAAGGGTTTCTACAAGCATTTCTTGCCATAATGATGAAAACAAAAACTCCATGAATGTAACTATATTATGTTACCTCCATTAGCGTGCTAAGCAAGTACGTAAATAAGGATAAGAAAAATGTGAAGTGTAAATTTAAATGCTTAATTTACATTTTTAAATGTCTATTTTACGTTGTTAAATGCCAAGTTTACGTTTTTGAATCCTTTTTTTTACTTATTTCTACATTTTTTCGTACCAATAAATCTGCAGCTTAATTATGACAAAAGAAATGACGCATTTTATAAGACTAAATAGACGAAATATTCCCAAAACTTATATCTAATTTTTAGCCATTTTTTACCTTTTTCGTCATTTTTAATTTTTTTCGTTGATTTCATCGATTTTAATATCATTTAATGGTAATTGCTTCAAATAATATTTACGATATGCAAAAAGTCCTTCCCGGAGAATTCTTGAGTAATTTATTCGACCTCTTCGCTCAGAAATTGCAATGTCAGCCGTTTTATATAATCTACTACAGTGCGGTTTTTATAACTCTGCCCCTCAAGGCCCTACTTCACGGCGACATTATGTCAAAGTGTTTCGCAGTGTTTCTCGCTCGTGTCACCAGACGTCGCATGATCGCGACCGTATCCAGCACTGCTATATATGTAAAGTCCTGGTATAGTCCAAACCAAAAGTTTGCAAGCTGGGTTCACTTGAACGAATAGATGAAGCCCTGAATACAACAGTCACGTATGCAAGTTGAATTGTTCATCCGTACTAGTTTAGATATATTTTTTACGTCATTTCCTCTACTCCTGGGTCATTTTTAAAACATTTTAAGAGTATTTTATTGATCATTTTTGGCAATGTTTAGTTCATCCAAATCCACACCCTACTTATTATTTATTACTGTTAAATATTATCTTACTATTTCAAACCGGGAGAGTTCGCTCAGTGCATCAACCGATGTCACCGAAGTGCTTCCCACTGGAAGGTCCTAGGGTACGAATCGCGATCTTTCCTTCCCATTCCTTGTTCTAACCTCACCCCGTACACACACGTTCACTTACATGCACTCCACAACCACAAAAGCAGGGAGACCGGTCGGGAGCTTAGAGCTTGTCTCGGCTCGGGAGGTGGGAACTTGCTGGTGGGAGATACCTGGTTGGGGAAAACCCCGCTAGCCGACTGTAGTTCGGCGCCGGATAATACCATCCATCGCGACAAGATCACCGCCACCTCCCGAACAAAAAACGTGCACTACACTTACGGAAGTAATTATCTTAGCCGATGACGCATCGGAATCATTAGTAATGAATCATCATCCCTGTCAGTATCCCTATAGAGCCAGCGGCAATGTTGGTTCTGAGCTAAACTCATCCAGTACCACAGATAAGATGAGAATTACACAGAAACGATGAGAATTACCTCAATCTGTGGGATGACGTCACCGAGCATGAATCCCTCTCGCCGAAATATATCTAATTCGAGGGTGGCTTCTCTCAAGGTTTGACCGGGCGGAGGGCCCTTCACTACAAAGGAGCGACACTCTCCATTAGATAGTTCCACTGTCACCCGGTAGATGCTGCTGGAGTAGTTCTCCCCTGGAGTCGTCGCCATTTTAACTGAGATGTCTTTAACCTGTGAAAAGAAGAATAAAGCTAATTTAGTCGTTTGACAAAATATTTTAATACTCATTTCTGTCTAATCAAATTGGAATGTATGATCAGACGTCTAAAAAATTAGCAGTTATTCCGCGATGGTTGGCAAACGTATATTAGATAATAATAATAATAATAATAATAATAATAATAATAATAATAATAATAATAATAATGATAATAATGATAATAATGTCTATATTAATGGCGAGGCTCAGGCCATAGGGCCTGCTCTTCCGCCTAACCACTTACTCCCTTAGATACTCCCTTTTATTTTGTCATTCCGCTGATTAAAGAATGTTTGTAAGAATAGAACTATTTCTGCTGAAAATTCAAGAAAAGTACAATTCGAATAATACATTTACTTAGTTTTCCGTTTAATTAAAAGTTTGACTATTGCCAGTTCAAAAATCAGCAAATTGTTAAATAAAAATCTGCAGAGAAAATAAGACGAAACGTATGACTTAACTACTAAATTCAAAATTGTGTCAGAGGCAATTAAGCCGTAACCCAACAAACGTTTGCAATTTGAATTACGCATTTGTGTAACTCTACCTTTTTCATAGATTCATATTAGAAGTCCTCACTTAAAATTATGATTTAGTGAACTTTTAAAAAATTATTTAAAAAATTTTATTTTTAAAATTTATTTCACTTATAACTCATTTATTTAAGATCACATTTCAGGTCATTAGCGACCATTAGTAAACATTGTTTAACTTTTAAAAAATGTATATGATGGCTGTAAATTTTTAAAATCTGAATTTACTAAACTATATTTACTTCTCTGAAATTTTTAATTAGTGGTCTGCGAAACATAAAATACCCATGAAAACTGAAAAACAAGTGGTAGCTTCTCATTATTGTGTAGTCTTACCTTCAGATGTTCTTCACTTTTCTTCAGAGCTTTTTGTATTAAGGTAGTGTTTATCCATTCCGGAGCTTTGAATTCAGCGTCCGGATTGGTATTCTGCTCCTCAACTACCATTCTGTTGTGTTGGGTTTTCAGGAATTTTCTGAAAAAAAAATAGAATTAATTACAGGCCTGCAGCAACAAAAATGCTGCTGAACAAAAGTACCTAAATGGTTTTTGAAACAAATTTCGCACAGTGGTCAAGAACAACAATAAAAATACTGTTATAAAACCATGTAATAAATTAAATATTTTAACAAAAATAGGCTTTATGAATATAGTAAGAATATGTTATAGTACACTTAGTATAAATCTGTACATACAAAAATATCAAAAAGTCGCTATTCCACAATGCAACACGTGAATAGCAAATATTTAATGGAGAGCGTAATCTTTTATTTGGATTCGTCTTGTCGAATGAGGTCAGCTGTGCTGTAAGCAATGACGCACTAAATACGATAATTGACTTGGTTCTCTCAGTATGAGAAATTACGGAATACCATTTTTTTCTTCATTTTCATCAAAATCGGAATTGTTTCATTGCTTTGGATTTGTCCTCGCGTCTCTGGCTATCTAACAAATCCATAGACACCCCTTCACAAGGTCGGAAGGAACTGCATAGCTTTCCGTCAATATAGACGTATATTCGAAATAATTATTATAGAGTTTTTTAAAACATTTTCCCGACTCCCTGAGTAGCGAGCGAAACCATAAGCATCTGTCGCATAGCGGGAGGCTGCATTTTTTTCTTTCAATTTCTACGCGGATTATAAATTAAACTATTAAGAATTAGACAAATCAATTATTCAAAATCAAAGTTTTAGATTTGTGGATATTGATTCACCAAATAACCTTTGCATAAGATTGGATGAAGTTTAAAACTGAAGAAAAACGTGTACGAATGGTACTCGTACCGATTGAAAATTTCCATTAATATTTCATTAGGAAAATCATACATACGAGATTTATATCTTCAATAACGTACGAATTTTTTTTACAATTTATACATTTAACTGAAGATCGGATAATCGAGCTTTCCTCTGTTGCAACAAACAATTTAAGAAAAATAGTGGTGCTCAACAGCATTATTTGTAAAGGTTACGTAATGTTATAATAATTCTTTATTACACATTTGACTAATTAAAAAATAAAAGAATACAGTAATAACATTTATGACATCTTCTGCATTTAGCTCTGTATGTACGAGTACATACATACGAAAATTCGTATGTATGTACTTGGCGCGACAGCCCGTGAACGAGCTGAGGCCTACCAGCGACGTCCCTGCCTCGGGGCCATGGGTTAAGGGGGTACGTGTGGTTAGCACGGAGACATCCCCACACCGTATTCCGGTCTTCTCAACCTAACAAGTGAATTTTCTCGTCACACAGCAACATGTACTGGGACATTGCAAGGAAAGCGCACCTTATAATCTCGCCTGACCGGAAATCGAACCCGTGGCCACGTAGTAGAAAGCGAGCACGCTGACCAACAGCTAGCCACAAGCCGTATTTAGCTCTATACATTCTAAATATGTTAAGAACAATCATAAACTTACTCTTAGAAAATATTGCTTTAAAATGGTATTGTCTGCAAAAACGTAGAAACGATTCACATTTTTTAAATGTTAATTTCCTTATTAACGTATTTGTTATTGAAGAAGAGATTTCATTATAAAGAAATATTTCCTTAAATATTTTAGTTTTAGTAAATCGTCCAACAATAACAAAATTTTGTAAGAAAAATATTGAAGTACTCAACTAAAATTGAAACTGCATAACCTTTAAAAGCGTACTTTGCTCTTTGAGAAAAAATAACTAAAACATTTGGAGCCATTTAAAAAAAAATTGGAGTGGTCTTCCAAGATATGTAAAAAAGCAAAATATATTTGTTTATTAAATGCAAGGGTTAGAGACATCAGCATATCGATCGAAAAATGTGAGCTTGGAAGAGAATTTTCCCCATCGTTCACCTACCCAGCTCCTTAAAGATTTATACGGAAATTGTTGAGGAAACAAATACGATTCCATTGAATATTCTTAATGCAGAGTTTTATTTATCAAGCTATTTGTTTTTAACTTTTCGGTTTAGCACGGATAAACGAGAGAAGACAAAAAATACCTGTAAAAAGAGTACCGTACACAATTGGAAATAAGAACATCCAAGTACGAAGATGGAGTGTTATATGATATAAAGCAGTATAATATACCATACTGTTATATAACAATGTTTTAACTTTGTTTACTTTTATATAACGTGCACAAAAATAATAATATATGTGCAGTGACAAAATGAAGAGGAAATCTATCTACCAAAAATATGTTAGGGATTTTGTAGAATTATCTAAAATAAGGACCCACTTAATGCTTAATTGATATATATATATATATATATATATATATATATATATATATATATATCAATTCTTTTATTAGTTTTAAATTGTGTACCTTATTCGTAATCAATGATTAATTTTTATTTTTGTTAGATATGACAGCAATATTTGTTATCGAAGTATAAATGATGTCCAATTTTAATATAATGTGTTACATTTATTTTTAAAAAATTCAAAATTAAACAAAGTGATAACCGTAATTTACCTCAATTTAGATAAAGCATGTGAAAAAGGCGCATTCGCTCTAAGAAGCAAGATCGCCCAGAGCATCATCTGAGACGATTGCAGTGCTTCTACCCGGGACGTTCTATGGTTCCACCCCCGACGGTGCCAGGATTTTTCACACTAGTTAGACAGCGAGGCCAAAGTCACCCGACGGGAGGATAATTTTAGCGGCCGGCTGCTCTAATCGGCGGATTTTTTCGTGGTTTCTCCGATCAACACCAGGCCAATGCCGGAGTAGTACACTAAAAAACGGGCCACACACTGTACATGCCGAGAGACCGGTCGAGAGCTTAGAGGTTGTCCTGGATGAGAAGGGGCCCCGTTGGTGGGAGATACCTCGTGATGCGTGTAGTAAACGGATAACAATCACAAACGCCCCGGGTTTGAAGTTTGAGTTTTGTAATGTTGGGTAGCGTTTACAAATGACGCGGGAAAGTATGTGCTCTAGTAGCTCACCTTTTTTGTGTACTACTTAGCACACGAGGAAGAAAAAATCTCTACAGCTTTGCTCATTCAATTCGCACACATCCGTCACTATAAGAGTATTACTGTCGTCGAATACTAAGCTTGGACTAACCTGATATGTTGTACGATGTACGATTCCTTGCCTCTTACACTCACACTTACATGCACTCCACTACTACCACACATTGTGAGAGACCGGGCGGGCGGGGGTGGAGCTTGTACGCAGGGGGGGTAGGGGGGCGCTAATTGTTAACTTGTGGAAAATTCTGCAACCCGACAAGTCGGCGCCGGATCTATGCACTACACGTACAGAACCTTAGGATTGACACGCCTGAAAACACTAGTCAACGAATCAGTTAACCTAAGTGACAATATAATACAATAAGACATTGGTCAACAGTTTGGTGTGAAGGAGGACGGCGTTTTCAAGCACTGTACCATATTGCGATGCAAATATGACGACACGATATGCGATTAACATTAATGTATGGCAACAAAACTAACAGCATATTGACACCACAGAATGACTTGCTGCAGTGAAACTGACACTCCATATTATATAATCTGAAAAGTCAAAACTATGCCGACGTTTTTCATTCGTTGTTGCTTCGATTACTGTGCTGGAGTTCCCATGCCACGAAGAACTGTCTATCTCATTCCAATTTTTATTGTAGAGTACAGAACTCACCTGAAGCTGCCGCAGAAGAGCAAGTTAACAATTTCAACAAGTAGAGTTTACGGTTCTGGTCGATCGCGAATTGACAACTGATAAGATCAGGATGTTCTGTATTGATAGGGAACAGTTTCACTGATAAGAAAAACGTCGGTTCAACATGATAAGCAAATGTGTTGATATACGAGTACATTATATGTACGAGTTAGTGTATTATCACACAGAATTCTATATTCGAAATCAATGAAACGAAATTTTCAAACAATTATTTTATGATTTATAAATTATAATACTAGCTACGAGTAATGTAAATAACAGTGCTCTCTGAAAATGATTACCTCTAAACCACTTTGCAAATTTTATTCTTTGCAATCAAGTCTGAATCACGATGTGTGTCGAAGAGATAGAAATACATTTAAAAACCATTGACACATATTGGTGTAGACACGAAAAACATTATTCATACAGAAAAAGCTGGGTGTATAATTCGTAGAAAACACTGTTGTATCTCTGTGTCCGAATCTTCATTGTTCTCACTGACCATCGTTCAATGCTCAATGCAGGTGATTAGTAATAGACTTCTAAACTTTATACGTATTCTACAGAATTTTTTTATGTATATTTAAAAACTTTACTAGTTTAGAATATTTTCAATTTCGTTATCGCAGTACCAGTATCGTCACCGCCATATTTTCATCAGTGTGAATAATCATTCGAAGAATATTGAAAACAAAAGTATCGATACTCTACGTATGGAAAGTATCTCAATAAGCACACTGTGAAGAAAGTTTTACTTACCAAATACTTCGCAGATCCTGAAGCTTAGAGCTTATACTGTGTTTTGCGAAATAATGAATCGCCACACAAAACAACACTGACAATGTGAAGTAATATTTACTAAACAAATACACCTATCTGAAGGGTAATATTGCACAGTTTTCAAAACAATAAAATACCGCTCAAAACAACACAACAAACCGACGCGGTAGGTCTTGGCTTGGCCACCAGGAAGAGATGAGTGTCTGCTGTGCAGCTGGCGCAAATTTTCGATGTTATGCAACACACAAGTCCCCTGGCTGGCGGAAACCTTGAGCCGCGCACAGTCACGGCGACGTCACGAAATGATTAAACGTTCGAGAATTCGCAGTCTTGTTGAGAGAGCCCCCCGCCGTTGGTGGGGAAGTCCTGGTATCCTAGGGTATGAGGCCAGACGGTGGCGGGTTTCCGTCACTGGCCAAATTGGACGAATTCAGCCGCTGTCTGGAGGAGAATTCTAGCGGCTGCCGGATCGGTCGAAAACTTTTTCGTGGTTTCTCCGCTTGGGGAGCTGCAAACGATTAACTTAGTAAAAGTTCGCAAATTTTTAGTCTCGTAAACTTTAAGTAGGAAGGTACGAATATCATTCCCGGGCTGGATTGTGCGGAGTTGGGCGGGAAGGTTGA